ATCTGCTTCCAGAAATAATTAACCGGCATAACACTATACAAAGTTCTGCGGTAAGAGACCTGTCCACTAAATGTTTACATACTCTTTACACTGAGGGAAAATGGCAGCAATTTCAAATGAACTTTGATGTCTCCTCAATAAATCGTGATCACTCTATACAGATTTTTCATTTCAAAAAAGCTTTAGTACAAATTACTTGTGCTAGAGGAAAAGGCCAAATTAATGATATTTCTCTTACCATTTCTTTGCATCAACATAGATTAGAAAGGGAAATGACTGGATGGAAACAAATAGTGCTTACTAATATTAACACACCACCTCCACTGCTAGCAAAGTATAAAATCTAATCTAATCCCTATTTTATAGTATATCAAATCACCACGTGATTCATTATGATTTATGGTCTCTGCTTATAGCCCCAGTCCTTGCAAAGATAGAGGTGTAAAATTCACCAGCTCTTCAGGGATGGTCCTCTGGACCCTTACATCTTTCTGATCCTCACCTCCTCCCCCCACCACTACTTTCTCTCTAACTAGCAGTCAAGTCAGAGTCATCCCCCTTCTGACTAAGAAGGACTGTCAACAGCAGTCCCCAATCAGCCAGAGTGGTTGCTGCTGAATGACATGAGGCAGTTCCTCTCCTCAGGGCTCAACGTGCTGCCTCCACAAAAATTCCAAGATCTAGTGATCCGTGGAGCAATAGATTGGACCCAAGAATGGGTCTCTCACCCAGCAGTGGAGAACAACACTACTAAACCATGCAACAGGCCCAATTCCAATAACTTTAAACCAAAATTTTATTTTTCTATTTATCTGGGAGCATTAAAATAAAAACACAGAATATCAAAGCGTGTAATTTCATTTTCAAATATCGTTGTGTCTGCTGCTCAAAGCAAAGGATTGAGTTCTATTGCTCGATCTGCCACTGACTTACTGTGTGACCTTGGATGTGTCATGTACCCTCTCTCCATTCCTCACTCTACCCATTGACAAAATGGGTATAACATCATTCAAGTCCTACGATTCTATGTTCATCTATTTTACAAGGAGTTGGGGAGGCTAATTATTGTTTATGAAGTGCTTGGAGATCCTTGAATAAAAGGTGCTATGTAAATACAAAGTGTCACCATCAAGTTTTTCACTTCACAGGAATGTTAATTTTTAACAATACTTCATTTTCAGGAAAACTATTTTCCCCCAAAAATATTCGGAACATTTGCTAAACAAAGGCTAACACCATCTCTTTTCTCCTAAGCTTTTACAGGACACAAATGCCAAGCTGTGCAAAATATTTGTCCAGCAGTGGCATCTGTTCCTGGATCCTTGGCAGACGCTTCAGGCATTTGTGCTGGTGACTTTAGAGTTGGCTGGAGGTCTGTCATGTGGAATAGCTCCAAGCTGGCTGTCTGGGCTGCCTTTTATTCAGAGTACCCTTTGCTTCTAAATCACTTTTCATTTTACAGACAGCATCATTTTTAGCCACTTGTCCGTAAGGGATAAAAGGCACAGGCTGTTGGTTGAGTATGCAATATGCTGGTTTTCTTTTATTTAGCACGTACACCAGCCTTTTTTGTGTAAATAAAGCCATTAGTGACTTTTTATTTCTTGTTCCTCTCTTAATGACCCAGTATCCAATGTTCTACTTTTTTTCCATATCTGTTTCCTGAAAGTGTACTTTGTAGTTCACTGCTGTCTTCTTGCTAGCAACACTGTCAACACCGGCACCTGCTTCATGATCTAGGAGTGTCGCTTTTTATTATTATGAACGCTATCAGCAAGCATGCTGAGATACACTATGTTAAATAAGTGTTAGGAACAAATGACATCCCCTTGAAAAATGAGGCCTCTATTCTGTAGCTCAGTCAGTAGTCTCTTCCATGACTGTGAACTCCAGGCCAGGACTTGACCCGGTGTGGTGTCACTAGGCAGTCCACAGCTATTTTAACTCAGTGGGTGTGGGAGATAGACTGGAAAAGCCATAAGATCTGTCTGTGTCCAGCAGACCCAATGAAAAATCCACTTTATACTCATAACGACCCAGTTCTGTCTCTTCTCTGCCATGAGACACTCCGTATAGTCCAGAGTTCAAACTGGAGGAATCCAACACTAAGATGTCCTCAAAGAAATGAAACTGAAATTAGAGAAGAAGCACAAGTGACCATAGCAGCCTCCACTTTCTCCAACTCCCAGCTACTAGCTGTTCCAAAGCAGCAGGCCCCAAGTAAAGGGGGGGAAATGGGTACACTTTACCAGAGTCTGGTCCAACAACGGACCCAGCTAGAAAGCCCAACACCATGAGAAAAAAATTCTGGCTGAATTGTGGATGTTTGAGTTTGATTTAATGTTATACATCTCGGTGAGTATGTTTGCGCCTATACATCTATGAGGTGTCCAGATCTTGTGTGATCTTGCAAGATTTACCTGAGCCAATCAGAAGCAATGTTAAAACAGAAGCAACATTCCAAACAGTGAGCTAGTCCTCAAGGGTACCTAGATGGCTGAGACCATATCCCAGGGGCAGGGAACAGTATTTCCAGGGTGCCTAGAGAGCATCTGTCACTTGTGTATCATTAATATGTGCACCATACTGCCATGTTTGGCTATCAATACAAATCAGGCAGCCAGAAATGTCAAGAGCTTAAAGAAAGAGAAAGGAAAGAAGCCAAAGGACGCCAGTCAATCCTCCAATATTTCCAGATAGACAAGGCCTCTCAACAGCCTGGCTCAAACAATGCACAAACTAAGGAACTGGATAAACAAAAACCACAAGGTGACAGTGATTTCAATATAAAGACTGTGGAAATTGAAGAAAAGCAGCCAGATGAATCATGTGATTCCAATCTAATGACTTTCAAAGACAGTCAAGTAATATTACCACCAGACTTAGAGGAAGATTTACAAGAAGCAGGAGAGAGAAATGCTACACTACTTACTAAGTCATGCGTTTTACAAGATCCAGTATTGTGGCCTAAACACATTACAGATTCTCTTTATCAAAAAATTGTTCTATCTGGTGCTCCGAATTTTGAACCAATGCAGAAGCTAGTGAAGTCTATCCCAAAAGCTGTTGACAGTCATAGTTTTCCTGCATTTCTTCTCAAACGCAGGACTTTCAGCAACAGAGAAAAGATTCTAAGAGACTGGCTTCAAGTCTACTTTTGGAATAGAACTTGATCTGCTATCACTTATCTTACTTAATGAGATTTACAACAAAAAACTACAACTAATTTTCAGATGTGAAATAGGTTGGGCACCCATGTTATGAGTTTGCCCTGGGCCCAGTGAAATGTTGCTTGGGGGGCCTGCAGTGCAGCCCCTTGGGTAGTTGTGCATATTACTTACAGAATTCTTAGTAATATATGCAAAACACACTATGCTCAATTCTGACCTCTAATGCACCCAAATAACTCCCGTTGACTATTAGGCAAGACAAGGTAGGCATTGACCATTAAATATTTGACCAATCATGTGCATGAAAAATTTTCACACATACATATTGTGTGCACAAATCATACATTTGCATGTGTAAACAGGAATCTGGTTACACAAAATGAAGCATTGTGCATTTAAGTAACAACAGTCCAGGCAATTAGCTATTTTGCTTGTGTAAATTTGCATTCACAATGGTTGTGCATGCAAATTTTGCAAGTGCAACTTATAAGCCAACTTTTGAACATTTTATTTATATTTATTTATACCTTAAGTTTTCCCTCTACTGAATGTTACATTATTTGTAAATCTTTGATAATATTTAAATTAAAATGATCCTCTTTTTGTCTTAAAAAATATTTTTTTATTCCAAAGCACCCATTGCTTCCACATTATCACCCTTCTGATACACAACTGGTGGCGCATACATGCTTACTTTCTTCTTCCCTATGTATAACTGTCTCTTCCTTCAGCCCCAGTGTATACTAACTCCTTCCCTCCCAGTGTCCCCTTCTCCCATTCATCATCTTCTCCCACATCCCCTTCTATGATGTTTCCCACACTTGCCTCTTCCCATATTCACAGTAATTATTCAACATCCCATTGTCTTCACCGTCACCCTCGTGCATACAATGCTTTTTTTCCCATGCTCCATGAAATAAAACCTGGCCCTATTGAAGTCAATGGCAAAACTCCCATTGACTTCAGTGAGGCCAAGGTTTCTCCCCAGGCCAGCACTTAGATTCTGATCCTACATATGCTTACCTTTACACACTGAGCAGTCCCACTGAAGTCACAGGACTACTCACATTGCACAAAATAAAGTACCTGCTTAAATCTTTGAGGAATCAGGGCCTTCAGCTGTACTTTCCTTGTTAGGCATCCTAATAATCACTGAGGAACACACTCTGTACGTATGGTTATAAAGCTTACCACAATATTTGATATAACCCCAGCAGATGATACAGTTTCGCATAAAATACCATAGACAATACGCAAAAACAAAGTCAAACTTCCTACAGTTTTTCTATTGACCACTTTTATAGTTAAACTTAATATGTAACTTTTAATTAAAACTACTTAAGAAAAAAACAAAGACAAGAAATGCTTGAATTTCCCCTACATTATTTTCAGGCAGTTAAAAGTAAGACACATGAAATACTGGGCCCAAATTCCATCTTTAGATACATTGTCACAATCCCCACTGAGAGCTATGCAAAGGTTTGATTATAAAAGTTCTTATACAAAATGAGATATTTTTAAAAATTTTCAAAGTTTTAAAACATTTTAAAGATGTTTTTAAAATGAAAACTTTATTATTGCTGAGACAGGCAAACAAAAATGCCCCTGACCATAAGGCAGCAGTAGGGACTTAATAAGTCCCACAATAATGAAACTGTATCAGAACATCAGCTCTAATCCATGAAAGAATCTGCAATGAAATTCTGATAACAAAAAGCATATTGTGGTCATTTCTGTCCATCAACAAGCCCCTTAATCTTACAAATTGATTAAAATGCCAAAGAGAGATGGGATGAAACCAGATCTAGTGCTAAGATTTAAAAGACTTACGGCAGCCTCTCTCATCTGTTCCATCAGTGCAGTCTTTAACTCGATCACACGTGTAACCATTCGGGATGCATTGTCCATTTGAACATGTGAATTGCTGACTTGAGCATGTCCTCCCGGCTGCAAGAAACAGTTAATTTAGATTTTCACCAATGAGGGACCTACATGCAGCAAAGTACTTCTCCTCTTCCCCTTTTTATTACTGAGCCCCTCTCATGAAATATACAATCTTTTATTACTTGACCTCTGTCTCGGGCAGAAATAAAAGTCACCTGCCAACCAGTGGGTAGGCCACACAACCATAATGCATTTCCTAATGCACAGCCACTGCTCCAACCCATGCCAGGGTTTCGAAGCACTTAATCTGATAGTCATGGATCACATGGCCCCATCTCCAATTTTTCCTCCATGCTAGGGGCTGGTTTGTCCTCTGCCCAACACAATAGGTTTCCAAGTCCTGACTGAGGTCTAAGGACACTACTGTTACCCAAATAAATAAGTGGAACCAGCCACAGCAGGCCCAAAGCCATTCCGCCAGGTACTGCAGGATAGTTCAGGATGGCCAAAGTGGCATGCAATCTCGAGCCTATCTACCATTGCCTACATGCAAGGAAAGTGGAGCATGATCTTGCCTTTAGTCAGTAGACCATGCTCTCTTGTGGCTGTGATGCCTTTAGCTGGTGCGCTAACTTGTTTCCCGCCCCCCCATGCTCTGGAAAGTGCTGTATGGAATCCTGGTCTACTCTTGTACAGAGACTCTCTATGCCTTCTTCCCTCACTAGTGCTCATATCACGGGCTCTGCTGTTAGGGCACTAACCCAGTTAGAAAAGTGAGAAAGTAAAACAAACTTCTCTTCATTCCAATTGTGTGCGCCTGTCAGAATAGCGCTCATGGACAAAAAAGTTTCACGCATTCTAGGAAGGAGCAATACAAAAGTGCCTTAAATTAACTAGCATCAATGCATATTCCCAGAGGTGGCTTCAAAGCAGAAGCAGCAGGATTTTACTGTGCAACCATTGAGGGGCACTTTCAAAACTGCTCACAATTAATGGGCACACATAGAACGAAGGCAAGTTACAGTGACCCAGTTCAAATCTTGACTTAAAGCCGTCATTGGATTTTGACCTTATTATCTACTCTGTCCTTAGTAGATATATAACTAACTAGTGGCTGTATCACGTACGCAAAGGAGAATGGGGGCAAAAGACAGCCCAGCTTTATTCCCCTCTGCAGCAGAGATAGAAATGAAGTTTTAAGACTATGTGCCTGGTCTGTGATCCAAATTCTGATCTAAGTTACACTCATGAAAATCCACCAAAGTCAGTGGGGTTTAACAGTTGTTACTGAGCAGAATTTGGCTTACTAACTGTAGGGATATTTAGATAGTTTGAATAAAATATCAAATCTTAGGATCAAAACCAATCTGTGCAAGAAGAAAAGTAAATAAGCCCCATCCTACTCAATCAGAAGTCATTTGTTTTCTAATGATATACCAAAAATGGGTTATAGCTATTGTTTGGAATACAATACAATACAAAGATTGGAAGACGTGTTGTGATCGGCTCAGTCTTAACTGATGAAGGACCGACAGTCTACGCAGTCTACGCAGCTATTGTTTGGACCCCCCACAGCCCACATACTACCAAATGCTAATGATCTGAGGGCAAAATTTGGCCTAATGTGCAGCAGCCAAATCACTCAAATCACTGTGTTTGTTTCTATGGCATAAGAAAGAAAGGGAACATTAAATATTTTGTTCATAAATGCCAATCCATGCATGATTAATACAAAAAGTATCATCAAAATATTTCCTTTTCAAACTGAAATATTAACAGGACTTATGTACTAGATTTAAGCTATATAAGTGATAATGGAACATAAGACTATTAGCCGATGTCAGGACTTTTTGGGATCTGAATATAAGGGATAACAGCTCTGTTCATTATAGAGTGTAAGATTGCAATGTCTGTCTAGTATCTTATTGAAGAGCTTCACCAGATATGGCATTAGAATCTCTCTAAAGGTTTATTTAACGTCCCTTCATTACTCTTCTCTACTTAGAGATTTACTCATTTTTCCTTTTATAGATTCCAAACCTTTTCCAGGGAGAAATGTATAGTTTCTTTTTTTGATTCTGAGCTTGATGAATAAAAGTTTTAGTAAAGAATGAATGAAGAGGCTCCTCACTGAGGGTGACTGAGAAGCGTATAACTGTTCATAAAATGATATAACTTCACTATTCAATTTTTGGAATCTGGTAGTAAGTTCCCTATTACTACTTCTGTGACTGATATGCATCTTACATTTTCTTTTCTTTTTTATTTAAACTGCAAAGCCAATTATTTTTCTACTTTATTGCAAGATTTGGAGAGGTTTTATTAATCTAAATAATGCCTATTCAGATTTATTTTATTATGTTTTATTTCATTATTATTTTTGTGTACTCCATTTCCAGCAACTGTTTATAAGAGAGATCACTCTGATAAAAAGTTGCTATGCTTCCACTAGCCTGGTTTATTTGTGTGTGTGTGTGTGTGTGTGCACATGCACTTTACGTAATCAATATGTTCACATACAAATGGTTTGCACTTTCATGATGCTGGTATAATGTTCTGACGGAAGTACTTACGGCATTGTTGATGCTCATCTGAGCCATCTTCACAGTCCTCCTCGTCATCACAAACCCATGACTGTGAAATACACTCTCCATCGGTCTGACACTGAAACTGATTTCCCTCACAGGTAGGTTGTGCTAGTACAAACAAGCAAATCATTTGTTATTTCACAATGTTTATTCAGGAGAGTGTGCTTCACCTGCATGAACTAAACACCTGAGACACCTGTAGTCAAAAGAATAGAAATGAGACGTTCTACCCTGGGATTACAGTTCTTGGACAAGATCTAAAACTTTTGAGCTAAAGGGAGAGCCTCTTCCAAATTACGCACATGATTTTCATTAGTGGATTCATGATGCACGGGTGAGATTAGAATAGTTTAAGTTCTACTGTCCCTGCTCTTTTGATTACTTTATAGGTGGCTATTAAAAAAAGAGAAAGGAAAAAAAAAAACAGTGAGCACAAAGAGAGACAAAATAAACGTTTGAACCTAACTCTGGAACAGTTTGCCTAGCCTAGTTAATACTCATCTTGTGATTCACTAGCACAACACCATCCAGTTTGATTTGTGCATGGCTTCTCTGTTTAATGACCCTTCTCCCTGAGATCATGTCTTCAGACTCTGCCAGTTCACAAGCATTGCAAGCCAACCCAGCAACAGCCTGAGCCCATGGGATGAGATTTAGGGATTACCCAACTATGTAAAGAAGCCATTTAAAGAAGTGATGTGACGCTGTATTGCAGCTTCATAGATGAAAAATGCATAATTAAATTAGATGCAAGGAAATGGTTTAGCTGCATATCATAAATATTATTTTGGATTCCTGCTTCAGGAACAAAAATGAATATTGAGTTTCATTTTAAAAATATATTTGTGTTCTGTTGATTTAAAATCTGTGTAGGTACTTATATGGCCCCATCATTATACTATGTGAGTAGAATTAAAAAACAAGATAAGCCAATTAAACAAAACTGAAATTCATTTTCACCCCCTCATCTTTTATTTTTATGTCCACATGTAAGAAGATGAAAACAAAAACAACTTCACTTATTTAAACAAATACACTAGGAGTGCAATTCTGGTCTGACTGAAGTTAATGGAAGTTTTGCTCAGTAGTTTGTTCAATAGCACCATGGCTCCTGTCTCAGAGGAAATCATTCAGACTTAAATATCTCAGTGACATGGCCAGTTGACTCAGAATGGCGATTACTTCTAATGCAAGATATTCTTCATCCAAAACACCCTTGGCTTTGCACTTGGCTGACCTATTAATCAGAAAATCAGCCAGTCTGGCTGCAGGAACTACCCCCAATTACTGCAGGGCTCAAGCTGAGAAGAGCCAATCCAATGTGGGAGGAAACAATGTAAATTAGCCTTTTCACTCCAAATCAACTCAAGGACAAAACCTGGCCTAACTGTAGCATAGGTTACCTGCCACAAAGGGTTCCGAAACCTAGAAGAGTGCTGACAGATGGCAAAACACAGATGGGTTTCTGAAAATGGGGAATCGTTTCTTCCTGTTTGTAACATTTTTACACATTTCAAAAATCTCCATAGTGATTCAACTGAAATCTGTCAAGAGTCACAGAACCTTTTTTCATACATGATACAGTGAACCAATTAAATGTGTATGATGCCCTCTCGTGAACTCGAGTGGCCATGAATACCAAAGGTTGTATCCATGCTGAAGACTGTCTGTATGTGCGCACCATTCAGGTTCATTGCAGTAATATCAATTAGCCATCTACGCATGCTTAGAGTCCACAGACATCAGAAGAGATGTCCTTATTAGACATAGGCCATGGATATTGGAGGGAAGTGCAGCATGTGACCTGAATCTCTTTCTAAGGATGAGTTGGAAATCTGGCAATATTCTAATATCCATAGAACCGGTACTACAGAAATCAAGAAAAATGAGTCTCAATTAGATTCCAAAGCCATTGCCCACCAAACCAGGAGTTTTACACCATCTTTGTTCTCTCTCTCTCTCTCTAAGAATTAACAGGCTCCTCATCATGGCATGGTGCACCATGAGCATCGTGGTAGCTGAGAATTCTGAATGCTGTAAAAAAGTGGAAATGCTTTGAATTAACACAGTGAATATTCCACTTACGACAATCAGCTTCATCCGTATCATCTGAACAGTCCCTTGCTCCATCGCACCTCCAGCCTGCAGGAATACAACGGCCATTTCCACAGCGGAACTGCCCACTCTCACACCCTGCAACCAAACAGCAAACCAAGAAGCTTGGTTATAGCGTCACATCAGAACTGATATGGGAGATTGTTCCCATCAACAATTCAGGGACACATTGAGAACAATCATTTTAAACACACTTTTTCAGATAAAACAGTGGGCCAAATTCCACACTCAGTTACACCCAGGCAAGCCCACTGTACTTCAGTAAGGTTGCCCTGATGTACGAGAGAGCAGAATTTGACCCAACATTCAAGTGTAATAACTCTTAATATAGAAGGCTGTTCCTGTCTAGCCTGTTGTATAGTCTCCTTCAATAGTCTACTTTAAGTCAAACAAAGGGGTAAAAGAAAAAAAGCCAAGAAAAGGTTTGCCAGGTATGGAAGCCTATTAAGACAAAAAATGTCCATTTTCATTTCATGGACTCAGATTATACAGACTTAAATGAAGGAGGAAAATGGCTTTCCACATCATTTCTGGAGGCTAAACATTAGTCCCCCCACCTGCACCCCCACCCCCTTGTAGTTCTTAAGTATTTAAGAAAAAAACAAAAAAAAAAAAAAAAACAACAACACACCACACCTCAGAGTTAATCCATTTAGCTGCAGTGGAAATCTCATTTTGCCAGCCCTATACTGGTATCTGGTTTCAAAACATGGATACAGATTTTTTTTTAAATAAAAACATAATATATAAAGTCCACCTCTGTGAGGTACAGGGAAATATATCGCCAATTAACATCTTAGTAGCTTTTTTAAACAAGAATCTGAGCTTTAAAACTTTCTGACTGATGAAAATCTGACCTGCTGTCAATCAAACTCTAAAAGCCACCACCCTATTTGCTATGTCTGTGGATTGAAGACCTGATCAGACAGTTCTTGCTCCCATGTGTAAGAGAATAAAATACACTGTTCATAGCCACTAGGGGAAACATGATCTAAGTCATAGGGAGAGGAGGTGAACATTTAGCCAATCTTCTGGTCCCCAAAACTGAGAAGTTGTAACTCATAATTAGGTTCACAAAGTTCTGTTTCACATAGCCTCAATCAGCACCCTGAAGCAAGGAATACTGAAAGAACAGTTAGTAGCAAAGATCAACTCTTAGAACAACTAAGAAAAAGCAATTTCCTGTTTTAATTAATAATCAAGTGATGAAATTACCATTCAATTATTCCAAGTGACTTGTCCAAAGGAGATAACTTTAGTAAATATAAAGCACAGACACCTACTCTTGAATTCACAATGACATAAATAAACAATGTGTTATCCTAACTTTCATGTAAAACCAGACATACCAACAGGGTCACATAAGCACAGTTAAGTGATGTATTCCTAAGGGATATAAGCAAGCTACTTTATGCAAGGAATGTTGAAATCTGATTGTCTGGTAGTGACATCCTGATTTATAATGTATCCTGCAAATGGTCAAAAATTGCACTCAGATGAATGGTGGTACCGAGTGGTACAGGAGTATGTACACCCAAATACCTTCTATAGACTAATGTATGATGGTGGTTGGTGGTGCAGGTCTGGGGTTGGTGGTGCAGGTCTCTTATCAACTACCTTTAAAACACAACAACCTCCCTTGCAAAAATGCCCTGAAAGAATGTACAAGTTCATCCTGGAATCCCAGACCCTCTCACTAAATTCTGCCCTACAAGACAACATTTCAATTTGAGACTTTAAGGGCCTTTTTAAAGTTTAACTGTTAAACACAGCATATATTAAACAATGTATCAATTAGAACTATTATTGGAAGTAAAACAATCTGTTTCTACATTTATTGCATCAGTAGCATCCAAGAACACAAGAATCCTAATAGCACCTGACTGAAAAAGAAATTACAATATAGAGTTTAATCAACATCCAAAGGGTTTCAGGTTTCTAAGTGGGAAAAGAATATGCTTAAAAACAAACAGCGTGGGAAATAATTTCATGGTATATTATATCATTAGTTTCAAATAATTAACCAGTAAATGTTAAGCATTGTCTATAATACTAATATTTTCTTTTTCCTTTCTTCTACTAAGTTCTTAAACATATCCTTATGGTGACATAAAATGAGATGACACTGGTTACACTTTTTGGAAAGCATTCTAAATACAGCAGACTTCATAGAGTATAAAAAACTGTAACTGAATGTTAACAGAGTATTTGCAAACCAACCAGTTCTTTTATACTCTGTAATACTTTTAAAAATTATAGTTCAAGTCACTCAGAACTACATACAGTAAGTGCTGTACAAATGCCCATTTATACAATTCATCAGCAGACCTATTATAATTCATTTAATTATGGTATTAGTCTTTTCAAATGTAATCTTCCATGCTTGCTTATTTCTCCTTGAAGGCTAGAGTTCTGAAATAACTTTTCAAAAAAGCAAAACAAACTGATGCTTCACATATCATTGCTTTGCATCCTCTTAGTACAAAAGTACTAGTACATTAGATAGTACAAAATGATTGTTTATTTAATAAAAGGGCAGAGGGATCTGGTTGAAAATAAATTATGGGTGATAAAGAGGTAACAGTGAACTGCAGGTTCAAAGACATTTCTCACCAAGGTTTTAAAAGGTATGTTGGTTTTTTTAAACTGTAATCAAAAGAAATTCTGGCCATCAAAAGGAGGAAGTATGCAGAGTACACACAATTATTGTATCCATTGCTAGAAATGTCCACCATCCAAAAAAAAAATTTACAGTAAAATGACTGATTAAATCAATACAAATAATTTCAGAAATAACTCCAAGTGACAACCCATAGAAACATGGCCCTTGATTCAAAATAGAAACTGACATCTACTAAAACCAGCTTCTGAAGGCTTTATACTAGTTTGTGTTCAAGGGCTGAACTGATGTAAGAGGCAGTTACCCTTGTTAAACTAAAGTATTAATTTGGGGGCATATTCTGGAACCATTGCTCACAATGAATAGCACTTACTCATTGGAGTAGTCCATCAAAGCCAACAGGACTGTGTGCATTAGTAAGTGCTATGCCACATATGGATACAGAATCTGTTGCTCTATACTAGGAGGGAGATGTTAGAAGGTAAGGGGTGTCCTCTTGTTAACTGACATTGTTTAAGGTGAAGACTGGATTCACTGAGGGGTTAGTAACTACTGACACTCTATTGTATCAAAGAGTTTCTTTTTAGTAAGTGCCCTTTTTAAAATGGTAAGGCAGTTCATAAATTAGTCCACGACTGCCAAAAATTAATACTAATGAGCTAATTTCAATAGAAATTCTGATTTACCCTGGCAGATGCTGATAAAGCCAGACACTTCTCTCAGGCAAACAGAATCCTGTTAGCAAGATTCCTGCAGGAAATAGTTGTTGGGTTTAAAAATACACAATAAATAATTAAAATTTAGTCTTTATTGTCTTGCTTCATATTTGCTAAGACGAAATGTCTAGGTGACTTTTGAAAGTTCAAAATCCAGAGAATTATTTTTCCTTGCTTTAATTTGATTATATTTTTTTACCCATCAAACTGTGGTGAAACTATCACTCAAATGCCGAGCAAAAAGACAGATGGTAAGATTTTGTGAATCCCAGAAGAACCCATGCAAAGCAGAATCCGAGGTTGTTGTTTTTTTAAATAGTATGGCTTCTGACTTTTCAAAAATTGATGAATGCCCGTTTCAATTTTTAGGGATTCAAAAAAGCAACTGGAAAAAACAAAGCTACCACATCCACTTTATTATAAAGCAATATTGCACTGAAGAATCCAGCCCATAGCTTAAAATTTATCCCTTGGGAAATATACAGAGAGAGTACTGTTCCTGAGGCTTCTGCTAGACTTGCTGTCTCTGGTCCTTAAGCTACAACTGCTGCTGCACCTTCTGTAGCTGTCTGTGTCTGGGATTCTCTTGTAATAGTCTCCTGAGTAAAGACGTCTGGGATTCACAATCCACTTAGGTCAAAACAGAGAAGGCCAATTTCCATGGCACAAAGTAAGCTACTTGTACACAAGATTATGCAGGACTATGACTTTCTATTAGTCTAAAGCATTATAGAGTGATCCTGTGAGGAGCAAAAGATTTGGGGGCAAATTATGAACCAAGCAAAATACTTATAACCACAGCAGAGTGATCCTGGCCTTTAATTCAATATTAAAAGATGAAGCTATATTTGGTATCAAAACAGATGCAGAATATAAAGCATTACACTACCACAATACCACGCCTGGATAGCTGTATTATTTAATGCAATTGTTTATATTCCCCAAGACAATTTAGGGCAAAATTTTCATTTACATCAGTGTAAATCTGGAGTAATCCCCCTTGTCTTTAATGGAGTTATTCTAGATTTACACTGGTGAAATGGATAGAGAATTTGGCCCATTGACTGCATGGGGTTAAAGTGTTTAAATGAAGCTGATGCTAAATACAGACCCAGTGACCCCCTGAGAATTGTAGTAAAGCTCCATTCACCAGCTAATAGACACTATCCAATGCCACACTAGGCCATGTGGAACTCTGCCAGGTGGCAGCGGGTGGGGGTAGTACAAAGCCCTTTCAGCACAGAGGTTTTGGAAGCTGGAGGCTATCTTTAATTTGTAGGTTCTGATCCCTTATGGATTTTCAGCATGAAGGCAGTTTGTTAGGACTTCCCTATTCCTATGCTATATTTGACCCATATTCACATTTGAGTCATACTCAATCCTAATATATATTTGGATAAATATTTAGATTGAAATCTAAAGTCTATATTCAAATCTTTTATGTTCAGGCCCAAATGTGATGCACAGTGCCACACGCTAAACTGAAATTTGGAAAAAGCTGTCCAGGGAGGTAACCAAATGCTGTCTTACAAGAAAGACATAGGAGCTGATCTGGACCTGAAGCTTTAGAGTTTGTATTCAATGAGGTAGACTAGGCACTTTTATTCACCTTCTCTCACATAATAAAGGAACAAGGAAAACTCCATATGAATTCAAAGAAAAGAAAGAAAGAAAGAAAGAAACATAAATCAGCTAAGACCCTTTGCTTGCTTTTCTTCCACCACAAGAACCCACTCACAGAT